TATGCCTACATATTCTCGTCCGGTACGAGAAATCAGAGCAGCTGTAGTTCAGCCAACTACGCAAGAACGGTCTCGATTGCACGGGGGGCAAGAGAAGAGATCTAAATCGCCAGGATGCGAGAGAAAAAGGGGAAGTCTCAATCGCCAGGACGCGTGAGAAAAGGTTTGGAACGGGACGCACACGCGAAGTCCTAGACGTAGGAGCGAATGCATCGCATATTTTCCTAAGGACATATACTAAACACTCTAGGCAATCGAGAGGTGGCCACTCAATCACCATTTCCCACGTATCTAAACGAATACTCACAACACTCGACGGTTAAAAAGAAAGAGATGAAAGAAGTGAAATAAAAACAATGTTACCGAATGGAGTGGTTCCGTTGACCCTTGACTTTTGCGTACAAGCTCCATTTCCAAGCTCTCCTCTTTCGATCATTGATGATGACATTTCAAACCAGAACCAATGTGACGTTGAACCATCATAATTCGACTTATAAATAAAGTCAAACCCCAAGAGTTAGTGTATTGATATCTGTGTCAAAGACAAGATGGAGAAATGATATTGAGAATCATTCTCCGATTAAATCATGTCACACGGACAGCACAAGACAACGATGTCTTGGCGAGTAACCTCCCCCCCACCTTCACCCATAGTTTTCCGAACTACGTTGACCCTGACTTTCCCATTGCACGAGGGAATACGTAGGCATAAGACGACGATGCTCTATCGAGTCTCTTTTTCTTTTCTTTGTCCCCGTGGCCTGTAACTTAGATAGTTTTACACCTTTATAGATTAGACAAAAAGTGTGGATCTCGTCGAGTACGACGGACGTGAGGGGTGCTAATACCTTCTCCTTGCGTAACCAACTCCCGAACCCGAGATTTGGTTGCGATGACCTGTCTTATTCCCTTTTCGTTAGGTTTTCTCTGATCATTTCCTTTCCCTCTCTTTGGGATAAATAACGAACGATGACGACTCTTCTGTCTTATTATTATTATTTCCACTAATTATTTAATTTAAATCATTTTCACCTATTATTATATTAAATAAATAATAACTAATATAAAATAATTAGTTTTACTTTCAACACCCTCAACCTCTACAATTTTACTCACACACCCCTAACACCTTAAATTCTATTCTTTAAGGTTACTATCTCACACCAAAGAGTACCTCTAACACACCAAAACACCAACAATTTATACAACAACAAACAATTTAATTACAGAAAATAATGCTCGTGTTTTATGATCGATTTAGATCTTTAGGGTTTCAGTAGTTATAAATATGGTTTTCTCTCACTTGTTGTAATTACAAGTTGCATAAGGTGTAGATATTCTAGTGAGAAGCAAGGGTAGAAATTCTTACGATTCTATTCTTGGAGTTTGTTAGCCTTCGGGATGAGATTTTTACCTGCCACCCCCAAACTTAAATATGACACCACTCCAATTGAAATGTTTTTTTACCATAAGACCCTTTATGAATTTTTATGATTTTAAAGAATATTTTGTATTTTTCAGATTTTTCAGAAATTTTTGAGATTTTACGAGATTATTTAGGAAATCTGAGTTTTACCGTATTTTTGGAGAATTTCATGACCTTTTACTAGATTTTTTAACAACCTATGAGTTTTTACTGGATTTCTTAAAAAAAAGGATGTAAGATCATATTTTTTTATCGGACTTGAACTATTGGATTTTTCAAAAAGTTATGCGTTTTTCTTGGATTTTTTAAAAACTTATGCATTTTTCTTGGATTTTTTAAATATACTATCAGATTTTTCAAAAATCTGTAAGTTTTAACCGGATCTTTCAAAATATTTATGAGTTTTTATCGGTTTTTTCAAAAAACCTATGAGTTTTTACCGGATTTTTAAAAAAAAAATTAACTTTTTATCAGATTTTTCAAATATACTACTGCATTTTTCAAAATACGATGAGTTTTATCAGATTTTTCAAAACGTATGATAGTGTTAATTTTTTTTTTTGCCTATCCAAAATGAATTATCAAAATTTTCAAAAATTGAGAAACTTACCGAACATATTGGATTTACAAAAAAAATGCTAGTGTTAATTTCGTTTTTTTATATGCCTACTCAATATGAATTACCATATTTTTAAAAACCGATATATATTTTCACGCATAGACTTTTTGATAAAAAACGATAAAAATCTAATACCTATTATATTTTTAAAGCAGACTACTGGATTTTTCTATTTCTATTGAATTTTTATTGCACTACCGAATTTTTCGTGTGATATTTTTTGATTAACTTTCAAATATTATAAAAAATTAGTAGTCGTTATGTTTAACTGTTGGAGTGGCAGGTAAAATTCTTTTTTTAAAAATATCAAATGAGTTTGAGAAATTCTTTAAATATCTTGGATTTATATATTTCATATATTAAAAGTTTGGTCAACTGAGAAACACTTGAATGAATAAAAAATATAGTTTGTTGTTAGAAAATTTGAAAGACTATTTTCTTCCTACTCAGCTCTTGTAAAAATTATAACCATTTTCATTTGACTTCCTTGTTCACTTTCACATAAAACTTGCTCTATTTATATTAAAATTTAATCAAAGAAAAAACATGAATGAGTTTGTACATGTATTAGAACATCATGAGTATAAGTGTATAACCACTCCAAATACTATATGAAATTCCAATAATTATTGAAGGGTGTGTATAGAAATTTACATTGAGTCACGGTAAGAAAAACTGCATTTTGCTAAGTGATTTAGTGACGTGGTAAACATGTGAGAAAAAATAGAGATTGCGACGTGTAAACCACGTCACTACATTATTTAATTAATAATTCTCTCAAATTTAAAATTTGTAACGTTGAGTGCTGTTTTTTTGGAGGAGGAAAATTTGAATTATTTAGAAATTAAGTTTGGCGTGGTAACCACATGGGAAACAAAAATTCAAAAATATCTTTATTTTTGCGATTTGGAAAACAAATCAGAAAGTACCCACATGGTACCCATGTCGCAAATGGGAAAATATTAAAGATGATGTGCATTTACTTTTACAGTTGGGACACATTAAAAGTTGATTTGACTTTTGCAGGTCTTCCCACAGGATTCCCACGTCGACAAATGAAGACATTAATGTATTATTTTGATTTTTTACCATTGAGTGTCATTTAATTTTTGAACGTCGAAAATAAAATGCTGGGAAAGTTCTAACGTGCTTATCACGTGGCTACTTTCCCAAGTTGATTTCACGTCGCAACTGATATGGCTTATTGATTGTTCCAACGTGGTATTCACGTGGGTACTTTCCCATGTGTTTACGACGTCACAAATTAGGCTATATAATGCAAAATATCAGAACCCTCCCTTCACGCATTTCTCTTTTCCTTCCTTCTTCCTTCTTCCATCTTCTTTCTCCATTCTTCGTTACTTTCTTGCGTTATTTGTGCTTCCTCTCCTCCTTCACTGCATTTCACAGACATTTTCTATAGGTATGGTATATGTTACATTCTTACTTTTTATTTTTGTTTTACATTTTATTTTAATTTTTTCTTATTATTAATTTTTTTCCCCAGAAGATTAAGATTTGGAATATTCAAGAAGAGCTCATCAAGTCTAAAGATTTAAGCTTTAGTTTTGCTCCATTAAGGTATTTATGTAATTTAAATTATTTATTTTTCAGATTTATAGGTATATGAAATGTTTGGTTGTTGTTGTATAAAATTAGAATTATTGATTATATATGAAAAACAGAATATATATTATATTTTAAATGTGAATAATATTGATTATATATGAATACTATTGTATATGAAATGTTTGGTTGTTGTTGTTGTATTTAAATATGTTATTTTTATTAAAAACAGAATATATATTATATTTTTAGTATACATAATTGTAAAAAATAATTTTTAGAAAAAACAGATTTTTAAAATTAATAAATATATATATTATATTGTAAATGTATTATTTTTATTAAACAAATTATATATTATATTTTAGAATGAGTATTATAATTTAGTAAACATAATATATATTATATTAGAAAAAATAGAATTTTTAAAAGTATTTTTAGTAAAAAAAATTGTAAATAGAAAAAAATAAAAAGTATTTTTTGAAAACATAAAGTTATGTAGATTAAAAAACAAAATTGTAAATATTTTTAGAAAAAGTATTTAGAAAATAGAAGTATTTTTATTAAAAAATAATGAATATGTATTATATTTTAAATATGTTATTTTTAGTAAAGAAATTATAAAATATTATATTTTAGAATATGTATTATATTTAATAAACATAATATATATTATTGTAACAAAATTAAAATCAAAAAAAATTTAAATTTTAATTGTATATATTTAAATTTTAATTCTAACCATAATATATATATTTTTTTAATGTATATATTAAAAAAATTAAAAATTTTAATTGAAAATAATTTAAATTATTTATTTTATTATTTATTAATTTGTTGTATTCATTAATATTTAATTTTTTTATTATTATTAAATTATACAGTGAAGTGAAAACCAAGTCATTAACTTAAAACAAATTTTCTTTTTGTGGCATAGGAACCACGTCACTAATTAGTGACATGAGAATCACGTGCGAACAATTTTATTGTTGCCATACTGAACGCACTGCAAGAATTTTGGAAAAGGTGATTTCCTACGTGAAATTCACGTCACTAATTAGTGACGTGATTTTTCCGCGAGAACGTTTTCAATTATTTTGGTGGTTTGTGGCGTGAATCCCATGTCACAAATTAGTGACGTGATTTTCACGTGGGAAAATGTTTCCACCGTTGCTTTTCCGATGTGTTTTACCCATGTCACAAATTTTGTTTAGTGACGTGTTTTTTTGCCTTAGTGACGTGAATACCATGTGAGAAATTGCAATATTTCTTGTAGTGAGTTTAGCAATAACTAGGTACTTTTCTAGATATATATCCAAAAATCTGTAAACCTTTATAAGATTCCATTAGAGAAAATTGAGAAACTTAAACACAATAAATTTTCAAAAATCAAAATTTCTGCTTGAAAAATGATGCAACATGTTTGTACACCAAATCATTGGCATTCACACCCATCATGTAGTCAAAATGAGCATATTCATGAATGAACTGAACATTGAGCTTGGCTTTATCATGGTTCTGAAAGTGTAGTGAAAGTAATCTCTGAACATCGGCAACATCGGAGAGCGCGTCTTTACCACCATAGCTCATGAAAATTGGAATATTGTTTGGAATGTTTGAGAGGTTGTAGATTGGAGGTTTTGGTTGTCCATAATATCCTTGGTTTATTTCCCTTCTCCCATAGTCGAATTTCGCCACAATATCATTTAAATATACTGCATAAATTTATAGCATATTAGTTTTAAAAAATTTTGAATCATATATTCAAAAAGAAACCCTAACCAAAACAATTTTGGTAAAATTTTTTCAGTTAGGGTTAGATGTAAAAATCTTACTAGAAGATAAATGATACAGGGTCTTTTTTGAAGTTGATTGAGGTTCAACTTGCGCGAGTCGAACAAAGGCTGCTCGATCTAAGCAACAATTTTCACCTAAAATAAAAGAAGTACAAATATTTGTTATATATTAATTTTAAAAAAAAAATAATTTTTGTGAAATTGTGTCAATTTAAACTTTGATAGAGAAAACAATTTGTACCTGTTAATGCAGTAAACAGGTCGTTGCAGTTTAGTCTAAAGGTAGCACAGATAACTCTGATAAAGCTAAGGGTTATACGCCTAAAAAATAATAGTTGAAAAGAAAATATAAAATATAAAATTAGTAAGGTTAACTAATAGATATAATTATATGATACTACATAATAATAGATTTTGAAATATGAGGAAAATCTCATAATGATAAAATTGTATAAACATTTAATGATAAAATTGTAAGTTCAATGTACCTACCCTTTAGGTTTAAATTCAGTAAAGTCTCTAGCAGTATATTTCTGTTTAGAAAAAAAAAAAAACTCAAGTTAGAAATCTTTTTGTATTTTATAAAATTTATACTTCTAAAATATCCAAAATAAATTTGATGCAATAAGTGATCTCAACCATTTATCAAGATCAATCATCTAATATATTATTTGACATTAAATAAAAAGGTTTCATTTCGAGTTTTAGATTTTCTAAGGTCACAATAAAAATCTTATAATTTCTATCCAATGACGGCAAAAAATTAAGGTCCAGAAATAACAATAATAAAATATTAACATGCATGATATTTTTAATTTTATTTAGTGAATAAATTTATATAATTTATTTTTTATCCATTTTATATAAATATATTATATATTAAAAAATACACGTTAGAATTTTTGGCCAATAAATTAGAATTTTTTACCTAAATAATTCACTTTTCAAAAAAAAATTCAAACTATCCTACTTTTCAAAATATGTAGGCGTCATACCAATTGACGACCTTTTGTTAGGACATGAATGATGTTGTCAATTGGATTGGAGACATCTCATAAGTTTTCAATTCAATTGGCGACTTGGTGTAATACACAAAGGGGAGTCGCCAATTCATTTGGAGACTGTGTAGAAACTGAAATTTTTTTCTATAAATAGAGGTGTTCTGATCATTTAGTTACACAACTCATCTTATATCTTTGTTTCATTGATAGCATGTATCGTCTTCGGTGGGGAAATATCGTCTATTCGAGAGAGAAGCCTCCGATGGCCATGTTGTTTTGGGACATACAAAATTTCAATCAATTTAAGAGGGAGCTGAATCAGTGGTTAGAAGGAGACATTGGTGAAGGAGAAAAAATTCAAAGTATCGAGAGACTTGATCGACTGCGTGGATGGGTTCGTGTTAAGACTGACAAGGATGTGAGGGAAGTCATGTTTGGACCGAATGAAATTAGTTTGATTGTTGCAATCAGTTAGGAATGTTTTATGATTCTTTTCTGTTAGTTGTTTTATGTGTCGTACGTGGTGTGTGTTGTTAGTTTGCGGTATGTGTTGTGTGTTGTTAACATTGTTGTAACAAAGACTTATCAGTATACAAAAATAATAAGTTATAACAACTGAAACAATAAGCTAAATCATGATGCAGATCTTACTCCGACATTGGGGAAACTTTTTCGGTTGTGTTCGGGATAATGACATATACTCGTGCATAATCTTATCATTTTATCAGTTGTATCGATTTCGGTTCTTATATGCTTGTTGTTTGAGCGCCCATTTTTCTTTCTTCGCATCTCATCGTTGGGCCAAACTATGTCATCTTGGTATGAAGGCTAATATTCCTCCATTGATAGCACAGCGAAGCCTTCGTTGTAGACATTCATAATATTAATCGCCTTTTAAATATTAGATAGATGGCTATATGCATCCTGATGAGCATGTGTGCATGCCGCAATGACATGTGAGCAAGGTACACGGAATGCCTGGTACTTGCCACAGTCACACCAACATCTGTTTAGTCTGACAGTCAAACACTGAATGTTTGCGTATGACGGTCAAACACTGTAACTACATGTGTGTTGGCTTTAATAGTATCCTCTTTTATCACTTTCATTATGCTTTCACTGAATATTTGACCCAACATTAACATTGCGCTCCATCTTTCGCCTCTTGTTGCGAAAAGTGATGTCAACCTATAATAGGTTGACCTCACCAAAGTGGTAATTGGAAGGTTTCTAATTTCTTTGAATACCCCGTTCATGGACTCGATAAGGTTTGTCGTCATGTGGCCCGAACGACATCCACCATCAAAAGCCCTTGTCCACTTTCTAGTGGAATGTTATCCAACCAACTTCCTGCACCTGCATTTGACATCCTAATTTCATTAAGATAGTATTGAAATGTTGGTTGAGTTAGAGCATACCCGACATTCACAATTTTTTTGCGAAGGTTCTTGTCTTTAATTGTAAGCATGAAGTTTTGTGCAATATGTCTAATGCAATATACATGAGTAGAAGGAGGATTATGCCACCCGTTAATATAGTTATTGTAAGCACTCGTTATAGCAGCATGCCTGTCTGAAATCAAACAGAGATTGACTTGTGGAGCGACATGTGTTCTGAGATTCTTAAGGAAGAAACTCCAAGCAGAAGCAGTCTCACCTTCAACCAAAGAAAAGACTATGGGAAAGACATTATTGTTGTCGTCTTGCGCAACAGCCATAAGCAAGGTACCCTTGTATTTTTCATAGAGCCATGTTCCATCAATTTGAGTAACAGGTTTGCAGAATGCAAAACCTTTTATGCATGGTTGAAACGACCAAAAGAGACGGTGAAATATGACATTTCCATCAACAATAGTTCCATCTAGCCTACATGTCGGCACTGTCTGCATGATTGTAACACTTCCTGGTGTGTATGTCTTTAGCGCTACCAAAAATCGTGGTAATTTCTTGTACGAATCTTCCCAGTTTCCAAATTGCGGTAATTCCTTGTATGAATCTTCCCAGTTGCAAAATATGAGCGTCGTAAATGGATGAACCGCAACGCCCATGTCTTATGTGACCCGGTGATGGCAACCCCCTCTATACCAACTAATAATTATATGGTGTGGTACATATCGGTTGCAACTGAGTTTGTCTCCGAAGAGGTGTATTTATAGGATCCACTCCAAACCACCTACACACAAGAAGCTTCAACGTCTAACCTACCAAGCAGGCCATGTTACTCACAACCCTATCCAACAAAATTACCAACCCAATAACCATCCGAACATGTCAAACACCCAACCACAACACCAAGAGCGTCCCCTATACCATCTCGAACAAAATGATTATTATCAACTTCATAACTTTATTAACCAATTTTTTACATTTCATTAATCAATTTTGATTTATCGCGCACTGTTCATGTACTGTTCACACACCGTTCATGTATTATTCACATATTATAAATATTATTTTTATTTATTAAAAAAATAAAAATACTATTCACCGTATAAATACGATGAACAATGTTTGGTGTAAAAGTGGCGGTAAGAATAGGATAGGTGTATATATAAACAATAGAGAATAGATTACATACCTTGCCACGTTCAGATCGCATACTCAAAGTTGCAAGTTTAGCTTTCATATTACCTATATAGGAAATAGGACACAACAATGCTACTGATTTCACCTCATTTACCCATTTACCTTCTGACAAAGATAGCAAAGCTACCATAGTCCCCTGCCAAACAAAGTGTTAAAGTTTAGTATTAAATTATTTAAATACAAAACTAATATAAAATGTTATTTATTTGAAACATTACCAAAGAATGACCAAGATAATTTATCTTCTGCCCTGTTTGCTTGAAGACAAAATTAATAATAGCAGGCAATTCATCGCTAACCAATTCATCCGGACCCCAATTCCAATATTGCTACAGTTTTTTTCATTGAAAAAAAAAAGTTAGTTTAAATAATAGCAATTATATTAAGTTTTCTTGCATGACATTTTATAATTAAAGTCCCTCAAACTATCTAACATGAAAAATAATTTAACTATAAAAAAAAAAAAAACTTTAATATAATTTCAATATATTTATGGCCTAATATATATAACTAGAGAAATTTGATAAATTATTCAAATAAAACATCATAATTATTTTTTTATCTTTGAGGTAAAAAAAAAAAAAAAAACCTTTTTAGAAGAGTCGAAGGTGGTGTGTTTGCGACTATATTTGGTTCCTCTGCCATTAGTAATCCAAACATCAAAGCCATTATCAGCAAGAATCATAGGCAGATTTTGTGCTGGACTGTTCATAAACCAAGATGCTCCATCCTATACAAAACCAATTCAATAATAGGATATAATACAGAACCATGCATGCATGTTCCATAATTTACGTCAAAAACATAATAATATAATTGATGAATTGCTCTAACTTACCATCATAATTCCATGTTGTATTATCACCGGCTCCCTAGTCGCGTTGCTACTCGACTCGGATCGACCTACTGGAATCCTTTGAATGCTAAGAATGTATCCAGCATTTGTTGTAACCTTAAAAATATTGCAAATTTCGTAAATGAAATATTTGTTGTAACCTTAAAAATATTGCAAATTTCGTAAATGAAATATTTGTTGTAACCTTAAAAATATTGCAAATTTGATCATACTAAGAAAAACTTACTACAATATTAATATGTCATGAATAATGTATAATGAAAATGATTTAAACTTATAAGTTGTTCTAATCTATACCTATAATTCAAAACCATTGCAAATTATGCATGTTAATTTTTTTTCACACACATGTTTGGTGTTCTTACTTCGAATTCATCACATTTGTATCCATGGGTGGTGATTAAGTCAGCGCATATACTCCTAACGACATAATCATCCTTTTTCCTGTCCCAAAAGTGATCTTTTGAAGCCCATTTATGATTTCCAAAGTTACCGAATTTACCAAATTTACCAAAAGCGCATGCTTGATAATTACACGTTGATAAAACTAAAACACATAGAGTCAAAACCGCGGAGTTTATCAAGTTCTGGAAAACCATATCTTTTGATTACGATTTTTTTTTTTTTGGATATGTTGTTTTGTGATTATAGAAGATGTGAGATTGATGAGAAACTGAAGAAAAAAATAGAAAACTTGACATATAATGGGAAAATGGGAAACTTTATATAGGTATAGGTGATGAAAGTTGAGGTGAAGCTACAAAATAGGAAAACTTGGCCAAGAATAGAAAATTTAACTCAACGTTTTCTATAAAGGTGATGAAAGTTGAGGTGAAACTACAAAATCGGAAAACTTGCAAAGAATAGAAAATTTAAGTGAACCTTTTTTATAAAGGTGATGAAAGTTTAGAGCATACTTATCGGTGGATGTGAACTATTTCTATACATATTTCAAAGTTATCATGTCAGAATTAAATGGATATTTGAGAGAAAAAACGTTCCTACATTTGCATACGTCCTCACATTTGAGAACATTTCTTTCCTCTACTTTTCTATTCAATTAATATTAAAATATTATATTTCAAAGGTCAATAGTTACATGGACATTTATTTTAGAATTTGGTGGGACCCATTTTAGAGTTTTTAATGAGTTGTATAGATATTTGAAAAATGTAGTTCAGTTGTTTAGAAAATATTGAAGTGAAATATAATATAAAAAATTGTGTGGACCCCATCTAAAGAAGCAAAGTGAGGATAATGAGTGTGGATGTTCTAATAACTCAAAGGCTTGAAATATTTTGTGTTAGTTAATTTATTTTTAAGTTTAACTACATTTGCTTGAGTTTGTAGTTTTAAGGTCAAGATTTTCTTTTGTTAGCATTGCATGGATGACCTACAATAATCCTTTCTCATCAAACAACCAAGTTTAAATTAAATAGAGTTTAATTGTTATTGCATTGTTAGTATAAAATAATTTTATATTATTATTTATTAAAAATTTATTAATCTATCATGTCATATTATCAGACTCGGTCCAAACACAAAACAAATTAAATCTTTGCATTAGGCCTCACTTTTTTGAGTCATATAAAAAGCCTCTAAATAATGTAATTAGCAAATAAATGCTAGCAAAAGTAAATTTATCAAAACATGTATCATTCAATACTCTCTATTCTTAAATCAATTTTTATAAAAACATCTATCATTCAATATATTTAATGATATTGATCATTATTCCATGGTATGATTAATAATTTATTTTAAAATGTTATCTATTTTTATATGATCATAAAAAAATTAACTAAAATCTACTATTATTTCACACTATAAAAATAAATATTTTTAATGAATAATTTTAAATTAATTTCTAAAATAATACTCTCTTTTTAATATAATTTTTAAATTATATATATAAAAAATATTTTTATTAAAAATCACATTAAATTAGTAAATTTTATTCATACTATTACGTTTTAAAAAAATAACACAAATTTTTATAATTTATTCAGAATTAAATTAATATGTTTAACTTTATATTATTTAAATATTTAATTGAAGAAAATAATATTTTAAAAAATTTATTCATAAATTTTTTATTTTAAAATAAAATTTAATATGATTTTTTTCTATTATAAAAATTTATTCTAAATTTTGTCTTAAGCCTCCAAATTTATTGGGTTGGCCCTGCATATTATTAACTTAAAATTTACAGTATAATGTGGCGAGATACATAAGAGTGATTGATTGACAATATGAAATTATTTTACACTCTTAGTATATATCAATTAAATTTAATTAAATATTTGTTTTAAAGGTTTCAATTGTCTTGAAAATGATGAATTCACATAAAATTAAACACTTGTTACTTTTATACATGCATGTTTTAGAAGATAAAACTGAACAAATAAGTTGGACATCCATTTTTTTAAAATTTTTTTTCTTCTTTACAAAAAGTAATAAGTATTCATTCAACTTGTTTGATTTTTTTATAAAGTACCAATGTTTTAAATAAAAGATGTACAAAAACGTGGGAACTAGGATAAGACCAACTAAAAAATTAAAGAATCTAAAATAAAAAAGCAAATCATGTTTATTTTATACAAAATCATTTCTAATAGTCAAGGTAAGGAATAAAAAGTTGTAAGGAAATTAGTTGTGAGATTTATATTAGGAAAAAAAATCTGCACAATTATTCGCCTATTTATATATGTGAGGAATGTATAAAGTCATATTTGCAATAATCTTAAGATAAGTTGCTCGAAAATTATGCTTCGAATTTTTGACCCAAGTTGTTGACCCGTTTTTCTCCCTAGAAATTTCAATTGCTCGCAAGACTTCACATAATTCGACATGGAGAGAGCAGTTCCATAAAAGAGATTAATTTGGCGAAAGCCAAAACAAAATCTCTCTTCAATCCCTAAAATATGAGGGTGCCAGATGATTTCCTTTATCATTGAAGCACAGAAAAGATGAATTGTAACATTAAAAATTTTGATAATAGTGAAATCATGCATAAACCCTGTTAGAATTTTGAGTACGATAATCCTGGATAACTTCGAGGAATCGTGTTCGTACACTTTCCGAAGAAAGTATTTCGACCCTATTATTTGCCTGGGTTCACGAAATCTTTGTGGGGATAATTCTTGAAGAACAATCTGCTTCTAGCAATAGAGAACAGATCAGGAATGTAGAGAGAAAGTATGGTATTCGTTATTTTTGTCTGTTAAAACTGAGGTCAAATGACTCCTTATATAGGAGATTAATAACAGAAACTGAAAAGACACAACTGTTCAAAAATTTCGAACGGGTTCAACTGTTCAGAAAAATTTCGAACGGGACCCCAACCAGGGGCTCTGCCCCTTGGAACCCCACGGGACGCTGCCCTGCACCCCGCCAGGGGCTTCGCCCCTTGGAACCCCTTTTCAATTATTCACATTCAATTACACGTTGGCTCGACGAGCGTGCACTCCGCACTACCCTAACTCATTTTCAAGCTTAACGCATAATTGCATCGGCCTACAGTAAATCACATTACTACTAAAATACATTGATGATACTAAAATCACCAACAAATCCCCCCCCCCCCCCCCATTTTAGTGTAATCCTTGATTTACTCCATATATACAATAATATATACAAGGGTAACACACAAGTATAACAATAAAACAAATGCATAGATGGAAATGTCTTACGATTGAATTTTCATCTTAGTACAAGTACACATTCCAAATACTCGAAAATCGGGGTGTCATAGCGTTTGAACCCGTCAATCCATTTGAATATCTGAAGATATAGTACACATATGTTTCTTACAATACTCTACTATTCATACTTGACACTTTACAAGCCGTGTGTCCTTATCCATTAATAAGCATATAGGAAGCCAAGTCCAAGCTTCTTGAAGCGGCAAAACTTCATGCTCACATAGGTGATCCTTTTAATCTTGCATCTGCATTTGCAATTTTCCAAAATAACCATTAAGAAGATATACTTCAACCTATCCATCACTTGCAGGTCTGAGCACATACCTTGGGAAGATAAACACAATTGCTCCAATCTCTAACTATGATTTTTCCACATTGAATTCTGCTTCTAACATTGTATTAGAAGGGAATTAGGTATACCACAACTAATAAATTTAAATGGACTTTAATCCCATTCCAATTACCGACTTCTTCACTAAGTCTCTAGCTAACCCCTTCGTCAAGTGGTCAGCTAAGTTTTGTTGCGACCTAACTAACACAATAGATATCACCCCATTCATGATTAATTCCCTAATCATGCTATGTCTAACACCCAAATGTCTAGACTTTCCATTGTATATTTGACTATAAGCTTTAGCCAACAGTACTATCACAACGGATAGAAATTGGTGATATCGGTTTAGGCCATATCGGAATCTCATATACCAAGTTCCTTAGTCATTCTGCTTCTTTACCACCAGCAGCTAATGCTACAAACTCAGATTCCATTGTGGAACCAGTTATACATGTTTGCTTCTTAGAAGCCCATGAGATGGCACCTCCCCCAAGCAAGAACGCCCATCCACTTGTAGAGGATGAATCTTCAGCATTATTTATCCAACTAGCATCCGAATAACCCTCTAACACCGAAGGAAATACCATATATGCAATCCATAATTCATAGTACCCTTCAAGTACTTGAATACCCTAGTTGTCGCATGCCAATGATGTCTACTAGGATTACTAGTAAATCTGTTCAACTTTCCAACCGCATAAGCAATATCCGGTCTAATGCTAATCATAGCATACATCAAAGAGCCTATAGCTCTTGAATATTCAAGTTGATCCACAAGTTTACCTGTATTTGGCATAAGCTTTTCTCCCGGATCCGTGGGAGTACTTACTGGAGAACAACTTTCATAATTGAACTTCTTGAGTATTTTCTCAATGTAATGAGATTGCGTAATTACAATCCCCTTATTCTCCCGTTTAATCTTGATACCAAGAATAACGTCCGCTTCTCCCATATCCTACATGGAGAACTTTGATGACAAGAAATTCTTTGTTTTATCAATTTGATTTTGGTCGGTGCCAAAGATCAACATGTCATCAATATATAGACAAATGAAAACTCCTTTACCGGGTGTATCAAATTTGCTATATACACATTTGTCAGCTTAGTTTAGAATGAAACCATTGGACAAAACAACCTCATCAAACTTTTGATGCCACTATTTCGGAGCTTGTTTCAGCCCATACAACAACTTAACTAGCTTACACACTTTATGCTCATTACCAGGCATTACAAATCCTTCAGGTTGCTTCATATACACTTCTTCTTCCAAATCACCATTCAGAAATGCTATTTTGACATCCATTTGATGAATCACTAGATTATGCATAGCCTCCAAGGCAATCAACAATCTAATAGTAGTGATACGGGCAACTGGAGCATAGGTATCGAAATAATCAATCCCTTCCTTTTGTTTGAAGCCTTGGATAACTAATCTAGCTTTAAACTTGTCAATTGTACCATCGACTTTCATCTTCTTTTTGAAGATCCATTTGCAACCCAATGGTTTGCAGCCTGGTGGTAATTCAGATAATACCCAAGTATTATTTTTCATGATAGAACC